TCCTATGACCGCAAAGTAAAATTAATTGTATTTTTTTCAAAATTTTAATAAATGGACCTATTTACATACTAAAATAATCAAAAGATAAGAATTTAATTAGACATTTGTCATTCTTCAAAGTACGCAATAAATATTCCGTAAATCAATATGTCCGCAAACTTTTTTAACAACCCTCATATATTGTATTGCATAATTCTTTGGAAATCTCTCCTCTACTCCTCGGTATTAAGAGCAGACAAACTAACTTTATAGTTATGTTAAGCAAGGATGCTTAAAAGATGTGAAATTCATAGCCCCTGGGTCAGGGGTTTTGGTGTTAAAGTGGGACTCTGTTGAATACATAGAAAAAATGAATAAATTCTTTGAAAATCTTCTTTGCTCCTTGTTATTTAGTTGTAACTTACTAGTTGCATAGTTATGTTGTGCAAGGGTGTTTCTTCCAAAATTATTAGCTTCTCGGTCCCTGTGTCAAAGATTCTGGTCTAATGGAGTGGCTGATCATGATTGATTATATTTATTAATGAAAATACATTACTTCTTACAAAATCTTTTGCTCTGCTCCTGGACATCTAGGGGGCAAACAAAGTACAAATCTGTAATGAGTATGACCTATTTTTACCACATTAGTGAAATTCTGAACCACTTGGTGCTGGGCAGGACTCTTCAATTTGCATTCTTCTGAGAAATTTATTTCCTTTTACTTTTCACTTATGGCGAGTAATCACTGTAAATAATATCATTTAATTTCTAAAAAATAATTGATTCTGATTGGATAAAAAATTCTTTTGATAACTGCATCAACAGAATCTGGAGTTCACTTGCACTTAGCAGCCGGAACTCCTTTGGCTGACTTTATATGTGTATTTCCCGCTTCCAGATTACTGAAAGAAAAATGAAATACTTTAACACTTTTTTCCTGAATTTCAAAACTTATCCGCTACATTCCAGAGTTATTTTCTACTTTCGTTTCTTTTCGAATTACCCCCCTTTGCTAAACAAACCAGATCGTCTGCAATGACAACAATGCATACGCGCAATGATGACGTTTTCCGACCAATTTTTTCTTTGATACTTCAGTCAAAGAAAAAAAATATTACATTCATTTCTTAAGTCATTGAAAAGTCAACTGAATGAGAATTATACAATAATATTTGTAAAATTTGATACAGAAAGTGCTTTCACCTGTTTTCGCATAGACAGGTAAATAATAGATTAATAAAATGAGACAGAAATACATTATCTTTACACATTAAATATTCCTCAAAGACAAGAGAAGCTGTACTTGTACTGTGAGAAGAAATGAGGTGGGCTACTGAAAGTGCTCAAGCACTTGTTTTATTAGTTTGCAAGGTGACAATGACAAATGGGAGCAAGTACAAAGGTCAAGATTCATTTTAGCTTTAATTTAAGAAATAAGATATCATTTTTAGAGTTTCATTGGAGAATGACATGAAGTCGGTCACGTGATCAAATCCTATAACGCTCGAAGGGCGTTATAGTAGATTTGATCACGTACCGACTTCATGTCATACTCCAATGAAACTCTAAAAAATGATATTTTATTTCTTATATTTATATTTTACTTTTTTATTCGTGTTACAAAGAAATATAGGCACTATGTATACTTTGCTATGGAAATGCAACAACAACGTACCTACGATGTCATGTGACGTCACAATCGGAACCGTCCAAATGACTCATGCAGTTTGCTTTCCAAACGCAAGAAAGTCTGATCATGTGACCAACTGCATGTCATTGAAAATTGAATTTCAATTTAATTAGTATTGTTATATAAGGAAAAACATTGGCAAATGTTAATATTGATGGTTGAGGAATTATATTTTTATTTTATTGTCACACATTAGATGATTTCATTCAAATACAGTCTAAATAAAGGGGCGACCAATTGATTCTGAAGGGGGAAGTGGCTGGACAAACTTTTCCAAGTCGTGATAAGTCGGATTATTTACATTCATGTCGGCGAAGGACAAATTATTTATTTCCAAGATGATCAAGGAAAGATTATTTATTTTCTTCTTCACTGGAAAAAAGTCTGACAAACAAAAAGAAATGCCAAAATCAAAACTTCTACTTCTTTTTTTATTGCGGGGAGGGGGGGAGGAGGTTGTTCTGAGCACCTGAGTGACCAGCAGGCATGTTCACGAAACTTTCCTAAGATATGTTCTAAGATTATTCCTAAGATATGACTTAGGAAGAAAGCTAGGGACATCCTAAGATCAACTTGGAATATATTATAAGATGTAGCTCGACGGTAACTAGCACATCTAAAGTCAAGACATCCTAACATACAATGAACACTCTTGTTTCTTTACATTTATCTATACAGGTAAAATTCTGGAGACATTTGTAGGTATAAAATCTTTTACCTAACATGAAAAAAAAAAATCATTTACATGTACATGTAGCTTCAGTATGTCTTAATGTTTGCATATTTTTAAATTATGAAATATTGAATACCGCATGTAAATCGCATCGAAACAAGCGATTTTATTCTACCAGAGTGAAAGATTTAAATTTTAAAAAGAATCTTAAATTCAGTTATCTACCTTGACGATGATTATGATATGATATGATATATTCTAAAAGTTTGTATCCTTTTTTTCTCTTTTTTTATTTTTAAAAAAAAAATTGCCGATAAAAAAAAATGAATTTTGCAGGACTTAAAACCATGTATTCAAATAGAGAAATAACTGTGTAAAAGGCAATGTTTTATCCCAGTTCCTTCGCCATGCGCTCGGCACTTTGAAGGGAAAGTTGCGGGTCCTTCAGATGAGACCTTGAAAACCGAGGCCCCGTGTCACGACAGGCGTTGGCTCGATAAAGATCCCTCACTGCTCTCTGGCCCTGAGTGCCGAGTAAAGGTCAAAATTTGAAGCCCTTCACTGGTATATGGTGACGTCTCTATATATGAGTGAAAAATTCTCAAATGTGATGTAAAACAATATACAATCAATCAAACAATCAATGGTTTAAATTTTTATTTGATTTAAATAAAAAGCAATATGCCCCGATTTACTTATGTAAAGGTCGTAGATAAAACTAAATGAACAATTTTCATTTTTTGTCCCTTTCAAATAAAAGTTGTATGATTTTTTCCCCTTCTTTTCAAGTGCGAAATTCAGGTTCTCCTTGATGAGGTGGGGGAAAAAGTAGATATCATCTTTTGTAAATTATTGAACACTGTAACTAATGTTGCAAAGACGAGGCCTTTAAGTAACATTTGTGAAAAAAATATGTTTTGTAAATCATCAGCTCGTACAAAGACTGCTGAGGAACAAGAAATTGTCGCATATGCTTGCAATATTCAAAAATATAAGCATCACAACAAACTTGGGATGATCTTAAGACACGATTTATGTTGTCCTAAAGCTAGGAAGAACTTATGGCGAGGTCCTAAATTTAGGAAAGGTTCGAGAACCTGACTTAAGACTAAGACATTTCCTAAGACTTTGAAAATTCTTAGGACACGCCGTAGTCCTTAGATAGCGGGCCCACCATAGTTAAATTCTCAAGCGCAATATTTAAAAAATCCAGGCCCGTAGAAACGGTTTCAAAAGTGTGTGGGGGGGGGGGGGGGGGGGCAACTTCCCAAAAAACCTGACAAGTAAAAAAAATCTTACACTGACCAAAAGATGGGGAGCAACTACCCAAAATTATCTGAGAAGCAAAAAAAAAAGCTAATTTACTGTTCAAATTCTACAATTTACCAGTACTCGACCTTACAACTACACTCAACCTATACTATTTTACCACCCCCCTCCCAAGCGTTCTACGGGCCTGAAATCAGCGCCATAGTTCCGCCACAGTTAATTGTTAGCGCCACAGTGAGGTCGTCGATCATGAGAATAAGTATATTATAATTTTATAAACTTAAAAATGAATTTCCAAATTACGTACTGTTTATCTAATGCTAAACAATTATTTATTTTACTCTCATTAGCGCCCATTGTTTGGCTTGCACAATCAATTATCTTCTAGGTCTCGCTAGACTTTACTCATGAATGAAAAGAGATGATTCTAAGCCATTTTTTCACCCTTTCAGGTAATGCAAATGATTTTATTTTAATACTTATTTATAAAACTACTTAGCTTTACTACATTGTAAAAATAACCAAAATTTCTAAAATTGCATCCGCACTGTAAGTTTAACATAGTACATGCATTGAAATCATGTTGTAAAGCTGAAAAATTAAAGATTAATCCATCAAAATAGTATTTTATGACTCCAAACAGCTGTTTTTTAGCTCAAAAGTTTAAAAATGCTGCAGTCAACCTAGACCAATATTGCAAATTTTATACAAAGATGAAAGCCTGTCTGTGTGACCTACCAGGATTTTTTTTGTCCTGAAAATAAAGATGTATAATTCACATTTTGTAAATAAAATTATTTTAAAAGAAATCACATTAAACTTGTTATTACTAAACACATAAAACTAGTTATTACTAGTACGTATATACTTTCAGATTCTATAAGCTTATATTTCTTTATCAATAAGTACGTTTGTAGGTTGATGTGTTGGAAAGGGGGGGGGGGGGGGGGTCACAGAGCACTTTCATGTACATACTAGGTTAAATTCAATATCCATTAATTCATTATTGATTTACATTACTGGAATCATTTAATTTATTTTTCAGCTTGCAGATTATTTAATAGATGTACAATTTATGTATTAAAGTGGTGATTCAGAAAGCTGTGTGTTTTTAATTTATCGAGGGTTACTTCGGGAATTCGGTTGAGAAAGACCGCGAATATTGGAATTCTTGCGCAATAGTTAAATCTAAAATGATGGATAACCCTGCCTGACAAAGACAGATTATTTAATATTTTCTTGCCAATCGATATATACCGGGTTATTTCTTTCCAATATTTTCGAGGACAGATTAATTATTTCAAAAATCTACCAATCCCCACCTTAGAATAATATTGTCATCCCCTAAATGCATGAATTATAATAATGCAAATAAATACATGACATCTGTTGGATTTATTTACGTCTTTAATAATGCTCAAGCATGCAGGCGATACATGCATTAAATTCCCTAGATCTTTTTGCTCAAACACAGTATTTCAAACTTTGTTATATTTTCTAGTAGATGTTATTCCATTTGCTGTCTGCGTCTACAAATAAAAACAAAAAGCCCATGAGCCACATCGCTCATCTGAGCACATTGGTTGGGAAAAAGCAGAAAAAATTAGTTCAGTATTCAAAAGGTAACAGGGGGGATCAAACATGAATTTACACTAATTATGGACACTCCCATATCAATATAACTAATCATGGATTTGCTTTTCTTAAGAAAATACCATAACGGTAGCTCAATCTGTGTAGCGTTCGCTCCGTGATCGGAAGATCGATCGTGAGTTCGAATCACCTAAGTTGATAAAAAAAAAATAGGTTGCAACTGTTCCATCGCCATGCGCTCGGCACTTTGAAGTGAAAGATGCGGGTCTTTCGGATGAGACGTTAAAAAACGAGGCCCGGTGATCCGGCAGGCGTTGGCACGATTAAGATCCCTCACTGCTCAATGGCCCTGAGTGCCGAATAAAGGTCTAAATTTGAAGCCCTTCACCGATATATGGTGACGTCTCTATATGAGTGAAATATTCTCGAATGGGACGTAAAACAATGTACAATCAATCAAACATAAGAAGACTTTTTAAAAAAAGATTATATATATATATATATATATCCCTATGTAAAACTATGATTGTTCATTGTGGCCTGACCCTACTCCCGGGGGTGAACATATTTAATCAACAGTAACTTAGAATACTTCCATATCAAAATGACTTATAATGGCTTTGCTGTTCTTGTGAGGAAGATTTTTAAATATTTTCCTTAAAAATTCCTATGTAAAACTTTGATTACCTATTGTGGTCCCACTCTATCCCCGGGGGTCATGTTTTCAAAAAATGTGCTTAAAATATCAATATGACTTATCACAGCTTTGCTATTCTTGAGAAGATTTTTAAAGATTTTTTTCCCCAATATATTCCCATGCAAGACTTTAATGCCTTATTGTGGCCCAACCCAACCCCGGGGTTCATAATTTAATTAAACCTGAATCTACATTACGTGAGAATGTTTACATATTAATATGACTAATCATGCATAGCGTTTCTCTTCTTAAGCATAAGATTTCTAAAGACTTTCTCCTATACACTTCTATGCAAAACTTTGATTGCCCATTGTTGCCTTACTCTTCCCCTGGGGGGGCCATGATTTGAACCAATTTGAATCTACACTACCCGAGGATGCTGTCATATTACTAAGACTAATAGTTGAGATGATGTTTAAAAAATGTTTCCTTTATATTCCTATGAAAAACTTTTATCCCCCCCCCATTGTGGCCCCACCCTATCCCCGGGGGATACGATTTGAACAAATTTGAATCTACACCACCCGAGGATGCTTCAACATCAATATGTCTAATAACAGCTTTGCTGTTCTTGACAAGATGTTGCAAGATTTTTTCCTATATACAGTACGTCTATGTAAAACTTTGATTGCCCATTTCGGCCCAACCACTGGGGGTCTTGATTTGAATAAATTTTAATCTACAATACATGAGGAGACTTCCATATTAATATGACTAATCATGGCTTTGCTTTTCTGAAGAAGATTTTTCCCTATATATTTCTATGTAAAACTTTGAATGCCCATTCTTGCCCTACCCTTCCCCTGGAGGTCATGTTGCCCTACTCTTCCCCTTGGGTCACTGTAGCACCACCCTACTCCAGGGGTCATGATTTGAACAAATTTGAATTTACACTACCTGAGGATGCTTTCATATCAACATAATAGCTTTGCTGTTCTTGAGAAGATTGATGACTGATAGTTTGATTATAGTTTTACGCCTAGTCCGCAATATTTTAGCCATATTTCCGCAGAAAATGTTTTGACAGGTTGTTTGAAAGGTTTTGGTTTTTCTGCCCCCCCCCCCTTCTCCAGTGATACTATTCTTTATCTGATCTTTTACGTGCCAAGGGGGTTGTGATCTTTGACATGGGGTACCATTTAACGTCCCATCCAACGGATTTATTCTTGAAAAGATGTTCTAAGCTTTTTTCCTATGAATTCTTATGTTAAACTTTGATCCCCTATAATAGTAGCCCAGTCCTCCCCCGGTGGTCACGACTTGAACAAATCTGAATTTACACTTTATTGATAAGATTTCATATGAGTTTTAACTTTTTGACCTGGTGGTTTTTAGAGAAGATAATTTTGTTCAGATACCACCAATTTTTCACTATTTCTGAAATGTCTCCCCTTGGAAGAGGGTGTAGCCCTTCATATGAACAAACTTGAACCCCCTTTACCCAAGGATGCTTTGTGGCAAGGTTGATTGAAATTTGCCCAGTAGTTTTGGAGAAGAAGTCGAAAATGTAAAGAATTTATAGACGGACTACAGACAGAATGTGATCAGAAAACTCATTTGAGCTTTCAGCTCAGGTGAGCTAATAGAATAAAGAAATGTACAGAAAAATAAATTTAAACTGTTTTCAATAATAATAATAATAATAAAAACCATCAAAAGCTTTCCATCTTGAACGAATCTTATATTAGTTGATTCGAATGGTCCTCTCTGCTCTTCAATGAGTTTTTCTCCATCAAGTTTGAATGTTGCCTGAGAAATAAAGTACACGAATGTTTTGAACAACAAAATATAGTCGCAACAAATTGTTTATATATATATATATATATATATATATATATATATATATATATATATATATATATATATATATATATATATCAAGTAATAAACTTTTAATTTTTCTTCTAATAAAATCTCAATAAATTGAACTAACTATGTGAAACCGAAACATAATCCTTTAATTGAATTATTTCAAATTGGTATTATAAACTTTTATTTCTACATTTTCTTTGTTGAAGTGTTGTACTTGTTGGTTATTCTAGTAGAATGTTAAATTTAACAAGAATTGACAAAATTAAGAAATATTTCAAGTTTTTTTTATCTCTTGATAAGAATCTGTTTTAGTTTGTGTCCGACATTTTTTGTCAACCAGACTCACAGAGCTTATTTAAAGGAGGTGCAGCAGACAGACTGTGGCAAACTTGCTATTAAACAAACATTTCACTCAAATCTGATCAAGGCCGGGTGGTTTCTCTATTTGAGTGAAAAAATCACAAACGGGACATTATACAACATGCAATTAGTCAATAAATCATGAATCTTGAAAGAATTATACAATATTGTCATTCCAAGGTCAGTATGCATTACGATTGAATCTGTAGTATACGAATTTGAAGAGTGTTGACGTCGGAATGAGATTAAGAGGACATAAATAAAAGGTATATGTCAATATTGCACACGATTGTAATTTATTGAATGAAAAAAATCGTTCTCGTAGTACCAGAGAAAAGGAATATAAATCAACCGGCCTTGATAAGATTAGAGTGAAATGTTTGTTTAATGGAAAGTTTGCCACAGTCTGTCTGCTGCACTTCCTTTAAATAGGTTCTGTTTGTCTGGTGTTGGTTGACAAAAAATGTCTGAAAACAACTAAAAGAAAAAAATTAAAATTGAAGAAATGATGCAAGTATTCAGATATATTGAGTAAGTTATAATTAAGGTTTCGGAACAATGGCGTTATTAATTTAAATTGAATACAATATCAGTGAAAAATTCTCGAACGGGACGTAAAAAACATACAATTTTTCAATCAATCAAAACCCTATCAAAAAAATAAGAGACAACTGCACCTTCATTGGACGACCATCCAGAGCAGTAACATTGACCTCGGTGTTAAGTTTGGCCTTCTGTTCCATTGTTGACAGTGGTGTTATAGTTTTTATCGATACATCATCACCATCTATCAATATTTCCTGAACGATATTGTTTTCGGGCATGAGCATTTTCAAACCCTTTTCTTTATTTTCTTTGCTAACACCTGAAATTTATAACTCTTACAAACACGAAAAACATTTCACTTTTATGTATCCGTAGCATTATTGATTGTATAAAAAGCCCTCTAACAATCTTATTAAAAATGGGTTCTTCAGATAGTGCATAAATATATTTTGAAATGATAACGAATATCGGTTTACAGTTAAACAAAATAACTGAAATTTGGAATCCATTTAAAATATATAATTACCAATAGCGTCCATGTAGTCACTAAATCCCTGCACCTCCGCAAGCTTCCATTTTCCGTTAAGTGCAGCCATGTCGCCGTCTTAGTTGATAGTCTCTTGTGTGAATGACTGGCAAAGAGGGGTACACACGGATAAAACTCTTGTATTGATTTTACAAAATCGGTGACTCCTTGTAGATTACAAGGTTTCAGTAAATCATGCTTTATATGGAAAAAAATAAGGCACTACAAAGTAAATGCACTACAGACACCTCGTAGGGAAATTTCACTGTTCCTGCCTCCCATTTGTGTAATTTGTTGTTGATCATTTATTATATACGTTTTTTCCTCTTGAATGCCTAATTCTACACAAGCAGAAGGCCGCAGTGGGTATTATCTTGATTTAGGTCCCTTAATTCTATGTAAAGGTACCCTCTAGTTCGACAACCCACACACATTTTTAAAAACATATACAATGATTACTAAACAATATCAAATAAAAAAAGCTTTTATAAATTGTAATCTTTTCCCCCTGTTCTTTAATCATTGAAATATCTGAGTTTCATTCAATAGCATGAATATGATACTGTAACGTGTATACCTGCGAAGAGTTCTCAGGGGATGCATTTTTCTCTTACTCTACCTGAGTTTATGATCTAATAATTTGACTATGTACAGTACAATAATTTTTCTTAAACCTATCTGGGTTTTTCTATTATCTTTAATTACAGAATATATGAGGTGGGCTGAATTCTAATGACTGGGTAACTCTTGCGCTTGGCATGCACGGTGTACCGTGCCCCAGGTTCCTACTGATAGCGGATACTACATGTAGGTGTTTCGTTCTTATTCAGTTCTACAGCCCCCAGTATCTCGCCTCAGTTCCCGGGATTCTTGTCACTGGTGCAATCCTATTTCTTTTTACCTTTTCTCTTATTCGTTGTTCTCACCTAAATTTCTCTTGCTCCTGCTTAACAGCAGCTCTGCATTCAAAAGACCCTGAAACTCTCAATGCGGTCTATTGTATACCCTTTAGACTAGTCTACTTCAAGGGAGGACAGGTTATTCCATTGTAACCTTACATCTGGGTCTTCTTTGCGTTTTCACAAATCATTACATCACCCACGCCTCTGATTTCATGCGTCCTGCATGTTTATTAAGATATTTAATATACATTTAACTTTTTTTTGTTTATCAAAGGTATAAGTAACACCTGGTTACAAAATGAAAGAAATGCAAACACATAGTCAGTTTAGTTTGATATACATGTAACATTCTAATCAGACCAAATGTACTCTTCAACTCTTTCAATGGTTTCTCCATTTTCTTGATATTTTCTTATTATTCTTATGATTTTCGCATGCTTTCTCCTATTTATTCAACAGGAATGTTGGTCTGTGTAGCAGCTTCCACTGTCTCAACTTGATTCTTACAACAGGAGGAGTGCGGATTCTCCACAGGTGCCTCCTTGTCTGGTCTAATACTAGTTGCTTCGTCTTCATTCTCCGCATCCTTGTCTTTTATTATTTCTTTCTTAACTACAGCACCAACCAGACCGTACCTGACACCCGAGCAGTCCAAGAAAGCAGTCCCCGGGACTGCTCTGGGATTGCTCTGCAACTGATCTGCGACCACTGTGGGACTGCTCTAGAAAGCAAACCCAGCAGTCCCTGGGACTGCTTTGTTCACCCATGCGTGAAAATGATTCTGAGTGACAAGAAAGCCCGACCCTTGTACATTCCAAATTTGCAGGTTTCACTTTGTACAGTAGTTTTGTTTACTTTCAACAGAGAAGTTGTAAAAGTAAAATCAAGAAGGATTTTCCAAAAATTTAATATGTTCGGTTAGTTACGGAAGAAAAATGGATACTGTACATTGGCAAATAATCACGATGGTTTTAATTTCATTATGTTCGCGATTCATCATTTTTCCGCGAAATTAAGCCCATAGTGAATGCTATCATTCGTTTTTAAAAACGTTTTAAATTCTTATACGAAATTTAAATTAATTCCTTGCAGCGTGAAATCAAAACCATCGCGATTGGTATTTTTTAAGAAATCGTGAATTTTTAACACCGTGGAATTAAAACGACTTACAGTATTTATATACGTCAACCGCCGATTTCGCACCATTGCAATGTAAAAGTAATTAGAAACAATAATTAAATGTTTGTAATGATAAAAAGTTGTTTTGCCAGTTTAAAAAAACGGAAGTCATCAAATTATTTTTTTTAAATCTGTGAATTTAACGTAAATGCAGGTGTTTGAAACTAAACAATTTATTTAATTATTTAAAGCCGTTAATTTACGTACTCAAAGTTTACATTATTCTTTGACCTAAAGAAGGAAACAACCACGTCATTATTTTTTTTTTTTTAAAGTATTCAAAGCTACATGCTGCACTGGAAATTGATTATTTTTAAACTGTAAATGGCCGCTATCACGAAAACAAAAATCAATGCCGACTTTTTTTACCGCTTCAAAATAAAACCTAACAAGCAAATTCAAAGAATTGTGGTCCCCGCCTTCGGTGTTTTAGTGGATGGGATGCCATTATTTATGGCTTCAATATTGTAACTGTCTTATTTGTGTATCCTATCTTATCTGCACATTAGACAAAAAAAAAAAGATAAAAATAAAAATAAATAAATTATTGAATAAATAACAGTTATAGCAAAGAATATAGCTTCTCAAAACTATATCAAACTTCAAGATCAAGATCATGAGGTCAAATATCATAATAAAATCCAAAAGGTCTTGTCACAAGTAATGCACATGTAAAAAAAAAAATATCAAAAACAGGAGTATACAATCGGAAAGTTCTTGAAACAGGTAATGCACATGTCAAATGTAAATGCCATATCGTCTCTCAATCAAAAGTTCTTAGCAATGTTAAAATTTTTGAAAAGTAGGTCAAACTTCAAGGTCAAGGTCATGGGATTAAAATCATAGTACATTTTGAAATGCTGGTCACAGCTGGTAATGCACTTGTCAAATATAATTGCCCTATCTTCGCTCCTTCAAAAGTTATTAACACTGACTAAATGTTTGAAAAATAGATCCAACTTTAAGGTCAAAGTCAGGGGTCAAATATCATAGCATATTTGGAAACATTTTGACACAGGTAATACACTTGTAAAATATGAAAGGCCTATCATATGTCATTCAAAAGTAATCAAAAAATAAAATTTTTGAAAATAAGGTCAAACATGAAGGTCAAGGTCAAGGAATCAAAAATCATAGCATGCTCAGAAACAACTTCTCACTGGTAATGCACATGTCAAATATGAAAGTCCTATCTCTTCTCAATCAAACGTTATAAGCAAAGATAAAAATTTCGAAAAGTAGGTCAAACTTCAAGGTCAAGGTCTCGGGGTCAAAAACCATAGTATTTTTTGAAAGGACTTGCCACAGGTAATGCACATGTCAAATATGAATGCCCTATCTCTTCTCAATCCAAAGTTATAAGCAAAGATACAATTTTTGAAAAGTAGGCCAAACTTGAAGGCCAAGGTCACGGGGTCAAAAATCATAGTGTATTTGGAAAGGTCTTGCCACAGGTAAAATACATATATAATATGAAAGCCCCATCTTTTCTCATTCAAAAGTTATGACCAATTTAAAGTAATGTTAAAATTTTTGAAAAGTAGGTCAAACTTCAAGGTCAAGGTCATGGAGTCAAAAATCATAGTATATTTAGAAAGGTCTTGTCACAGGTAATGTACATATGAAATATGAAAGCCTTATCTCTTCTCATTCAAAAGTTATGACCAAGGATAAAGTTTTTGTGACAGACATACTGACAGACGGACAGACTGACAAAAAAGACGAATGAGATTTAATGTCCCCTCACTTTCGCGAAAGCGGGGGACAATAATTAATTCATATAAAGACAATCTTTTTCTATGAAATAAAATAATTTATCTGACATTCTCCCGTCATATAAACAACATGAGCAATTGTATAATTATTTGTTGATTTTTTTCCGGATTAATTTTTAACTTATAAAAAGTTTTACAAAATATATGACATAATATTTTTAAATAAAAAATAAGGTTGAAAATATCGAAAGTGTTTTATATCTTATTTTTTGTGTACGTTTGAGAGAAAACATGATACACGTTACAACTGAATTGTCTGGCCAATTAAAGGCCATACATAGTGCATAAAATATGTAATCGCCTGGCTAAGGTTTCAAGCGCTTTTGGGCATGAAAAGCAGACAGTTCACGCGTGTTATTTGGGTATCATATTACACATCACTAACCATGCTAGTCAACAATGGCATTCATTTCGTTCTTCAGACTGCAAAACCCTTGTTTTAATAAATATGGTATACATGTATTTCAGGATTATTTAATTTTTAAAATATGAGGTAATCATTTGAATGATTTAAATGTACACTGATGTAAGGGCTCAGGAAATATTTTAATGAAATTGTTTTACGTTGCGTAAAGATTCTTACAATAATTAAATCGACAAGTCAATGAAAATGATAGCCAAATTATATTATTAGGCTAAATTTGATAAAGAATTTACTGTCATCAGATTCATGATATATTTTCTCAAGCTTCAACGGCAATGAAAAATGCATACAGAGTAATATGGGAATCGGCCTTGCTCTATAATTGTAGAATCTATTTCAAAGTCATTAAATTCTGGTCTTTCTTTTTCAGAAAGTAAGGCATTTTATTTAGCATATGATTAATTTTCTATAAAAAAAATATACGGTAAGGCCAAAATAAAAAATACCTTTGTTTCCCCTAACGCGACCGACCCACTTAAATCGTGCCGACTGAAAAGTTTTTTTAATAAGATTATTTAATTTTTTTTTTTTTTTTTTTATCAACTTTATAAAATACAATTTCATCAAAATCCGTTTTATATCAGAACGGCGACTTTTGTTTTACTCTCATTTGGTGTCCACAACATCTGGTCACAGAGGGTTAGTTCGTGTTATAAAACAATGGTGACGTATCAATCTTATTATATATCTTTAACTTATTAGAATCCTACACTCTTGAAACATCTCGTGAATTAATGTACCATGACTAAGGAGTGTTAGTTTGGTATTTACAAATGTGTTTTCTAAAATTAACGTACGTAGTACGCATAGCAAAGCCTGCCTCATGAGCAGATGAGGG